TAAACTACCAACGGTTCGTGCACTTGCGAGTATCACAAGTTGAGGATGCAGCTGAATCCATTTTGGTGCAGCTGTATCTACGCAACACATAGTGCGAAATTCTGAAAAGAAAAACAGTTAAGTCAGGCATAAGTAAAACAGTCTCTTACCGAATGGAAGACAATGCCGCTTGGACGATGAGGGATGGACGGCGACGGCTCAACAGGCACGTCTGCAGCGGCCTCTTCGGCAGTCTCTTCGGTAACCTCCTCGGCGGCCTCTTCGGCAGCTTCCTCAGCGGCTTCTTCGATGGCCTCCTCGGCGCCCTCATCGGCAGCCTCTTCGGTCGCCTCGGCGGTAGACTCTTCGGTGGCCTCGTCGGCAATCCCTTCAACAGGTGGCCCTTCTACAGACGCAGTCTCAGCGTCCAGCATTTCAACCACCTCATCAGTGGCCGCCTCCTCAATCGCCATCTCGCCCGCGGCCTCCTCTTCGACTAACATCTCGGTAGCAGCTATTTCCTCGACCGGAATCTCGGTCATTGCTTCCTCCTCGACCACCACTTCATCCTAAGGAAAGAACCAAATTACCAAAGTGAATAGAGAAGGGTGGGGGTGACTTGGAGAATAGAGAAGAGAGGAAGAATCAAGAAATCCTTACGGTCACGGGGGGAGCTTCACTCACAACCACAGGGGGGACTTCTTCCTCACCTCCGCCCTCCGAGAAGGCAAAGAGGGTCCTTCTTCTCGGCCTCTTCAAGGCTGCCGTCTCAGCCACGGCATTCTGGGCCGGTGCGGCCTCGGTACTCGGCGCCTCTCGACCCCTCTTGCGACTCGGGGCTGCGTACACGAAGAAAAGAAATAAAAGAGGTAAGGAAACCAAAGACAAAAGCGGCTTAGAGAGGCCAACAAACAATAATGATAAATATGTAAAATAAGCAAAGTGTACCAACGGCAGCGATCGGTCGAGCCAGCAGGGAAGACAGCACGGTCCTGTGCGCCAGCGTTTTTCGCGCCCTCACCACAGGCGTCGCCCTGGGAGCTGTGGCCGCAGTCGGGGATGGGGCCGCGGATGAAGCCACGACCCTTGTTCCAGCCGAGGGAGGGGACGTCACCTTGGAGGCGGCCACGGTCGGGGTACTCGGGCGAGGAGGCCCTGCTGATACCTTCTTCACTTTGCTGCCCTTGGAGAGGAGAGGATCCTAGTCCTCATTCTTCAAGGCCCCCCTTACGGCCTCTTCAATAGGCCGAATAAATCTGGCCGAGATACATTCCTCGTACCAGACCCTCCCATCCTCGTCATAGGCATTACGACGCAGCCAAGGTGTCAAAGTGAGGAAGGTCATCCCTCTTTGCAGCTGTAAGGTTATGCCAGTTACGCCGTGCTGCTGGGAGACCTCGGCCCTTCAGGACGAGAGCCGGTTGGTTGACAGAGGGGGGAGCGGGGCCGTCTGGATTAGGCCGAATTGCCGCGCCACGCAGTTTGGCAGATAAACTTCGGCCCCAGCCTTGGACAAGCCGCAATGAAGGTCGCGCGAAACCAGGAAGGAGCCCTAGATCTCCTTCAGATTATTCTCCGTCTCAACATCAGGAATGATGGAGAGATCGTGAGTTACAAGGCAGACTCGGAACTGTGTACCAGTCCTCTCAGCCAGGCCATAGAAAAATTTGTAACAGAGGGCCAAGGTGTTATGCTTCTTGGGGGCTCGGGCAAATGCATTGGCCAGCGGCTCGGCATCGTTGATATCGGCCACCGCCCTCAGCTCTGGGAAGTAGGCTTGCAGCCAAAACTGGAAAGCCCACAGCGGACCACCGTGCTTCGGCTTCATCCCATCGGTGACGATGTCGTGAAGCGTGCGGTAGATGTGGCCGAGCAAAACCATCAGGAATGACGGAGAGGTCGTGCGCCAGGAACAGAGGGAATGGCCGAGTAAGGCAGATGCGGAACTGCGGGCCAGTCCTCTCGACCGAGTCTTAGAAAAATTTGTAGCAGAAAGCCGAGGTATTATGCTTCCTGGGGGCCCGTGCGAATGCGTTGGCCAACGGCTCGGTGTCGGCAATATTGGCCACCCCCCTCAGCTCCGGGAAGTAAGCTTGCAGCCAGAACTGGAAGGCCCACAGTGGACCGCCGTGCTTCGGCTTCATCCCATTGGTAACGATGTCATGAAGCGTGCGGTAGATGTGGCCGAGCAGGAATGGGCCGAGCGCTAGCCTTCCGTCCTGCGCTAGATAATCGGCCAAGTGGGCGAACTCCACGTTGACCTTGTTCGCCTGGGTGCAGAAAACGAACTTGCACAGCCAGTACAGCAGAAATGCAGCATGCTCAACTTCGCCCAGGGGAGCGATGGCGTCACCTTCGGCACTGTCCTCTGCGCCAAAATTGCTGTAGAAGCTGGAGTAGTTGAGCATGTTCTTTGCCTTGCTCCCGGCGACTCTCGTAAGCGTGGGCCACGTGGCTTTAAAGCTCCCTTCCACCTCAGGAGCAATGAGCGCGGCGTTCACTTCCATGCCGAGAGGAGAAAGGCCGAACAAGGCGGCCATGTCTAGAACGGTCGGCGTCATCTTGCCGAACCGAAAGTTCATGGTATTGGTGGCCGACGACTAGAAGCACAGGGCCGCGGCCAAAAGCGACCGATCCATGACAAGCGGCCGATCGAACAGCTTGATCAAGTGGTAGATGCCTTGATCTTTCCATTGCTGACCGAAGAAATGCTCCATCCTCGGCAGCCATTTTTCCCAATCTGAAGTCACGGTTGGCCATTGTTGCTGCGGTCTAAGGACATTCCAGTCCTGGAAGTCCCCCCCATCAAAGGCCGAGAGGTCCACCAGGTTGTTCTTCAAGTGGGCCACAAGCCTCTCTGGCATTCCGCCATCAATAGAGGGGCCGAGGAGGCAGGAATCGGTGGCAACACCATCATCGTCAGTCCAGGGCGAAATGATGTCAGGCAGGACCGAGCCCTGAATTTCTTGGCAAATGCCTTCAAACTCCGTATGGAAGGCTTGAGACCGAGCTTCAACAGATGTGGAGGTACTGGAGGCCATTTAAGACTGATATGAGTTGGGTGTTTAGAAGGAGGATGCAGCGAAAAGGCGGTGAATCGTGAAGAACACTGGAAGGGAATCCAGAAAAGGGCAAGGGTTTGCAGGTGTTTGAAAAGGCCAAGAGGCTCAAGAGTAGAAAGGGTCGTGGTTTTAAAGCGGGATTCTTTGGTAAAACTGGAAATTCGAGAGTAATCTGAAGGTTTGAGAGAAAAGGTTTTTTTGGCAAAGCTTGGGCGTCTGAGAGTTCTGAAAGCGTGGAAGTCTGGGTTTTTATATTGGCGCTAGAATTCGAAACGAAAGGGCGTGTCTCTCTCGAGAGACGTAACATTCTGTCAACACTCTCAACAGGCGCAATGACGTGTCAAGAGCCCAGAGGCCGTCGTTTCCTCTGACAAAACGAAGCGACGCCCTGGGCAATGATGGCCTACACGACGTGCTTGAGGCATTAAATGCGCCGACTGGCCTGCGCATTTAATGCCCCAGTTGTCAATCACTTTAGAAGGAATGCAAAGGGTCCATCCCTTGGAATCCATTCGGCCCCTACCCATGCCGAGGCCGAAGAATCCAGGGATGTGGGGGCAATGTTTGTGCCTAATAAATCACGGCCATGAGCTGGCCGAAGGAGCCCATTTTCTCAGCCCTGGCACTTGCTCGTAAAACTAAAACGCAGCGTTTCAACAGGGTGCTTTGCCTTCCTGAAGACAAAAGAAAAATGCTAAGGCATGATCATCTCGGCCTCGAGCGCAGGCCGAGGCCGAGGCCGAGCAAAATCACGGCCAAAGGCATTAAAGGCGAATCATCACGTGACAACAGGGTCCCAGGCTTCATGTAATGAAGTAGTGCCTGTTTAATGCAGCAAACCCACTGGCAAGGGAAGGTGGGAAGTGATTGAAGTCAGGATTTGGTGATGAGGATTAGAGTGATTAGACGTAGACATTCTCACAAGAATTTTGATAGCTTGAGATATTAGGTCACCAGCTATCAAGGCCATAAATGCGTCTCCACGGCCGGAAGCGCAGAGTAAATGATCGGGGCGGCGGCCGAGATTCACCAGGATTTATGGGGTCACACCACTATACTTCACGATCCCAAATGTCGATTGGACTACCCATTTGCTCTAATCAGGCTCCACCATGCAGATTTTCAGCCTCGATTACTCCTCCAGGAACTCTTCCTATAAATACAAGGCTCAAGCTACATTCAAAGGATTCAAACACCAAACCAAAGCCTCCCACGGAGCAACTTATTTTTTCCTGTAATGCACTTTCAATATCTTTACTTGCTTTCCTAGGAGTAGTGTTAGACTGTAAGGAAAATTCATTCATCAATATATCATACGACCCTTGATTTTCAAGGCGCCGGAGCACCATCCCTGTTGTTCGTTCACTCACCCCATATATCATACGACCGTCGCTCCCTGAGAAACGCGCCGGAGCACCGCCCAAAACCCACCACCAACACCATCACTCAACGGCCTTGTAGTTCAGGCCGTGAACCTAACAGCCGAGACTAGTTCCTCTCTCGGCTACAATCGTTTGATTAGAAGACGAGTTCAAACAGGCGCACCACTTATCCATCCTACACTCATCAACATCTCGACGCACGGTAGACCGTGATGGCACGCCTGCGCACAACCACACCGCACCCAAAAGCAGGAAGCCGCGTGTCAACGCATATCCCCTCGGCCCGGAACTCCAGGCCGTGAGATTTGCGCGGCAGACACCATTCTTAGAGCAAGTCCAGCAGTGGGGTTTGGACTGAGGCTAGGGGGTTTGGGAGAAAAAGGGCCTCCAGCAGCAAGGTTTGGCCCGAGTTGGCTGTGGGGGCCACGAAGTCGGGCTGCCCCGAGGGCAGGTTCAGCCTCAGATCCAAAACGAGGGGTACTGACGTCAGCAACAAAAAAAATTTAAAAAAATTCTAAAAAATTCGGATTTTTAAAAAATAAATACTTAGTCATATTTTTCACTTCCCACACCAAAAATATTTTTAAAAAATTTTGTCCAAATTAATTGTTTAGTTAAACAAATATGTGAAAAAAAACAAAAAAATGAATAGTATTTGCCCTAAACTAGGGCAACTGCTGGAAACCAACATTGCTTTTTGCAAGGGCAGTCACTATTTATGTGAATAGTGCCTGCCCTAGCCCCCCCCTTGCCATGGCTAAGGGCAACTGGTGGAATTGCTGCAATATGACTAAGTATTTATTTTTTTAAAATCTGAATTTTTTTAAAAAAAAATTTTTTAAAATTTTTTTTGTTGCTGACATCATCACTGACGTCAGCCCCCCTCGTTTTGGATCTGGGGCTGAACTTGCCCTCGGGCCAGCCTTAGTTCGTGGCCCCCAAATGGAACTCGGGCTAACCCTTGCTGCTGGAGGCCCTTTTTCTCCCAAACCCCCCCTAGCCTCAATCGAAAACCCACTACTGGACTTGCTCTTAGTGGTTTAGGTCGGGCCTTTGAATTGGGATGTCCCCTAGTGCTTGGGTCGGGATTTCAAACCATGATTTTTGAGCTTTGTGGGCTTTAGTCAATAACTTCGCATTTTGGACCGCAGAGTTAGGCTTGTTATGGGATATGGGCCAAGCTTTGTTTGCTTGGGCCAAACGTGTTGTGCCATGACTGTGGGCTTGTTAGGTATGACTGCTCGTTTTTGCTTTGGTCCAGGATATTTTTGTTTAGGCCCAAAGTTTGGCCCCAAAAAGCCGCGTCAAAGGGGAAAAAATTAGGTATAAACACTTGCATTTGAATTTGCATCTCAATTGGGTTAGACTAGTTATCCAACGTAGTGAATATGTATCGTACTCGCCATCTATGTGAGTCAAGCTTGAGACCTCCTCCAACCAAGTAAAGAAAAATAACACTAAACCAAAGAAGTTGGTTACTTCATGCCATTTTTAATTTGAACTAATACTATTGTTTAAATGTATCATTGGTAAAATACATTTTCTTCTTTGGGCCAATAATTATAATTTGGGTCGGGAGCCGCCTGGGGGGCCAATTAACAAATTTGGCAACCCGAAGTAAAGTTAACCGGTGGTATCCGTTTATTATACCTTAAGCTTGCCTGATATATATCGGCAGCACGGGACGAGGGCATGATGGTAAATATGAGACTCAGGTGCCTAAATCTGCACTAGGAACACACCGAATACGAACCATTACGCGCCTTATTTAGACAAAAAGCAAAATGTTCTTGTTTCCTTCCTTTTTTATTATGAAAAGTTACGTCTCTTTGATTTCTATATATTCTTTTTTAATTCTCTCTTCGTTTCCAAAACACAAACACCAAAAAAAAAAAAAAACATTAGATTGTGACTTCTTGTTGTGAGAGACACGACTGAAACACAACCACCCAGGTCACCCCTCCTGTCTTTTGCTTCTATTCTTTTCTCAAATTATTTTTTTACATGGGTGTTTTGGATGGCATAATCTTTTATCTTCAAATCCTCATTACCTTGCTTGATTACATGATTTCGCAGATTAATTACATGTCTTTTTCACCTTCATCTTCTCCTTGTCCCTTTCTGATATTTTTTTTTCTTTTCTTTTTTATTCCTTCTCTCTAACTTTTGCATCACAAACGGCTAAAGTCACATTTCAACGTTTTCCATTTCCGTTTCTTGAACTCCAAGTCTTCAAGATATTATAATTATATATGTAATTATATATCTGTGTACATGTATATGCAAGGCCCTCCAAGCATAAAATCATAAACTTTTGAATTTTGCAGTGCAGGTCTGAAATGGATCATCCTCGTTTTCTTCTGGTTCTACTAATTATAATATCGGCTTCATCCAACTGTCACTCGTGGGGTTGGTTCTCTTCAGAAGAGACCTCCTCTAGTGAGAACCCTTCTGGTTCAGTTGGTAAATTCTCTATGGAAGGTGTTAATGACCAGAAGGGGGTCAGGCTAGTTGAAAGTGCTAAGAAGAAATTGGTTGGTTCAGACTCTTGTTGGCAAAATGCTTATCGGCATCTCTTTTCTGGGTGCTCAGAGATTTTCGCTGTCGAAGAGAAGCGGTCGAGATTTGCTTGGCATCTTAGTGATTGCTTTCAGAAGGACTCTGGCAGGCCTCCTTTTCCTTCATGTGACCCAAAATCTGTCATGTATAAATGCCTGAAAAGTTTGAATGACTATGAGCATAAGGTCTATCTGGAATTCTACCTTGAGACCAATTCAATCTGCCATCAGTTACAGTTGAGTATACTAATATCTTCCATGTAAGTTGAATGAATTCTTCCTGAGAAACTAACAAGAACTTTGTTTTTCGGTCGTTTTCAGGGCTCGAGTATTTAAGCATGAAACAGAGAGACTGGTGAATGAACTTAAAAATTCAGCCCAATATGCAGAAGGCAAGTTGGAAAAAATTGAAGAGAAGGCAGAGTATCTACTGCAGGGCTCAAATCAAATATATGAGTCTTTGAATTCAATTGATGTTCAAACACAGCAAGTTGCTCAAACTGCAAAAAATGTGGAAGATCATGTAGACGTCGTATTGAAGCATTCGGCAGCAGTTTATGAGCAATCCAGGAAAATCCAAGCTTCTCAATCAGAGCTGCAAGAAGGACAAGTAGAAATGAAGAGAAACTTGAAAGATGGAATGGCAATGCTGCAAGATTCATACAGCCATTTGGGCCAAGAGATTGATAACTTAAGAAATGAGGCAGTTGAAATTGAAAAGGAGATAACTAAAGTTGGAGACCAAATGTCATCTAGGATGGAGAATCTGCAAAGCAAAGCAGATGATATTGGGAATATGGCTGGGGTCTCTTTGGATAAGCAACATCAGCTTCTCGATGGACAGACGACTGCTCTCAAGGATCTTCAGTTTTTAACAAAATTTCAATCTGAAGCATTAGAAGAGAGCAGGTAAAACCAGAAAATAAAAACAATATGAAGTCTGAAAATTTGTAAAGTTTCTCTAACTCATTTTTAAAATCGCAGGAGTACACTTCACCGGTTAGCTGAATATGGCCATAGACAACAAGAAGAGCTTCTTCAAAAGCAACAACAGCTTCAACAAGTTCATGATCACTTGATGGAAAATTCAAAGTCAATCTTGGCAGCTCAGGTGTTTTTTAGCTTTAGATATCTTATTTAACGAGGTTTCTTCCACTGGTTTTCACAGTTTTCTTTAAATTTATTCTCAGTTTTTTTCTGCTCACAGGACTCTTTTGAATCAAAGCAAGCCAGCATGTTCATTGCATTAGACAAGCTATTCACTTTGCACAATGCTATGTTGCTTGAATCGCGCTTAATCAAAGCTTTCTTTATTTACTTTATATCGATGTTTGTTATCTACATGTTCACAAGCACAAAGCAAACATACACAGTTAGACCTTGGCTATATATTGGTAAGTACTTTTATCTTATTATGAAAAGGAAAAAAATTCAGAAATTTACATTGGTTCATTAACTTTTATATTTACTGTTGTATATCTAATTTCATTGACAGGGCTGTGTGCCACATTCTTGATAGAAGTAGTGACAATTCGGTTCACCCCGATTGACATTCAACAGCAAACATGGAAAATAAACCTTTTCCGATCAACCTTTGCTGTAATTGCTTTAGTTAAGCTAATACATGCAATTTTCACATACAGGTATTATATATGCTGAAAAATTTGAAACTTGAGCTGAAGGGTGCATTCAATATCTAAAAGGGTGCCTTTCAAACTATGCAGGGACTATGAAGTGTTGAACAATAAGTTGTTACATACATTGATTGAGAAGGTTAATGGCATGCAAAGATACCGGAAGTTGTCATGGGAGGAAGATAGTGAATTTAACTGGTCCTCTTGGATTGACACCCACTTACCAGAAGACGTAGACAGTTCTGAAGACCCTGACTACTTAGTTCCTGAAGAAGTTGGGGAAAATTTTATCACAGCTTCAACTATAAAAGAATATGATCTCCGCCAACGTCTTCTTCGTTGAAAACTTTCTTAGTCTTGTACATTTGAACTCATAATTTTTATGTTCTTTCTCGGGGTTCCTTTTCATCAAATAGTATTTAAATAGAAATTCACATCAAGATTACTTGTCACAATCAGTGAGATCTATACGGTGTTTTAAGACTATCTGCACTAATCAACCATCTGTTTGCACAAACCCATGTGCCATATGGCTAGAATATAACATAATCTTATTTTAATGGGTCCTCAAAAGAGGAGGAATCAAATTTGACAAAAATGTAAAGAAGAATCATGAAAAAAAGTAAGAAAGAATGGTAGAACCTTAGCAGAAAAGTAAGAAAGAATGGTGTTATCACCAGTGGTCCTTACAAGAGCATGCTCCACCTTTGAAATGGTGGAAGCGATTTGTGTCCCTTAAAACAATCAATCTCCCTGTAATCACTGAAACTAATTTCACCCAGGAGTGGCAATCTGCACAAATGCGTATGTTCTTTGTAATCCTAATTGGCATTCCAGCAGCAGTGTGGACAAGTGCAAACGTAACTGCGACTCTTTCACTATGCCCACAAACCCACATTGCTTTAGTTTCTTCATTTACCTCATGTAGCACAACACTAGTGTCAAGGATATATCCAAGCTCTTTCATAGCATCCGTCAATTCATTCCAAACCTTCTTGAACTCAGCTGAATTACGAAATTCAAAACCCCCGCCTGCTAGAAATGTGTGAATTCTATTCCTTATCTGTACCCAACTGCATCCAGCATCTTTTTTAATTCCCCTATGCTTCATCAGTTCTCTAACCCTATTCACACCATTCCACATCCCTGCATTTGCATAAACGTTTGAGAGCATTACATAGTTCCCAGGATTGGTCGGTTCAAGTTCAAACAACTCCTTTGCTGCACACTCTGCAAGAGAAACATTGCCTTCGAGCCGGCATGAGTTGAGTAATGATCCCCATATGCTGCCACTCGGCTTCATAGGCATTCTTTCCACTACATCTAAGGCTTCCTTAATTCTACCAGCTCTGCCCAAGAGATCCACCAAGCAAGCATAATGCTCAACTGTTGGTGAAACACCATAAACTAACTTCATTTTATTAAACAATCTTTGCCCTTCATCAGTAAGCCCCGCATGGCTACAGCCAGACAACAAAGCTATAAATGTTACTCCATCTGGTCGGACACCAGACTCTATCATCAGATCAAACAATCTCATTCCTTCTTCTATGAATCCATTGTTCGCATACCCTGTCAGCAGAGTATTCCATGATGTCAAGTCTTTACTTTGCATTCTCTCAAACACCCTCTTACAGTAATCAATTTCTCCAGATTTTGCATACATGTCGATAAGTGAGTTTAATACAGGGACATCAGGTCTCTTGGTGGACTTCACAATGTGGGCATGTATCTCTTTCCCACAATGAAGTGCAGTCAGTCTACCACAGACTGGTAAAATCGTCGTAAGGGTGACCCAACTGAATCCCATACCCTCTCCTTGCATCCTTCTGAAAGAATCCAATGACTCAAACACTTGGTCTCGTCGAGCAAAACTAGCAATCAAAGAGTTCCAGGAAACAACGTTTCTCTCAGGCATTGTATCGAACACCCTGAAGACCTCAACAGAACACCCGTTCTCCGCATACAACCTCAAAAGAGCATTGTTCACCACTTGATCAGGCTGTTCAATTGATTTCACAATCTGGGCATGGACTGCTCTACCAACCCTCAACTCAGGCAATTCTGCACACGCCTTCAACGCCATTGAAAATGCGAAATTACCCGGCTGGACAAACCGGATCAGCATGTCACAATACACAAGCAAAGCTTCAACCAAGTACCCATTTCTCAAGTACCCAATAGCCATTGCCACCCACACTGACTCGGGAACCTGTTCATCTTCCAACCCATCCTCGAAAACAGAGCGAGCCTCATCCATTCGGCCGCAAACAGAGTAAAGCGTGATGAGCTTGCTTTTCAAAGTTGGGTCGTGGAGAAGGCCGTGGTTGTTGCCTTTGTCCTTGGAGAGAAGAAGTTGAAGATAAAGCCTTTGGCCATGCTCCAATGATTTTCTGGAGATACAGGTGTGGAGGAGCAGAGAGTAGGCTTCTACATCGAGCTCGGTGAATGTTAATCTGGACGGTGAGGATTCGATCAGGCGAAGGGCCTCGTCTAATTTGCCGGATTTGGCAAGCCATTTGAGCGTTGAAGTTAGAGGTTTGCTGTGTTTTTTAGTACCGTTGGGGCCTGAAGTTACAGTTATGTTAGTTGAAGCGGCGGGTATGTTCGTTGAGAGAGAAATCGCGGCAATCATTTTCCCCCCTTTGTTCGGATTTTAATTTCCTTGCTCTCTCAAGTCTTGTATGCCGTGTATGTGGATATAGAGGAAACTTTCAACAATTATTAGATTCAAAATTCAGAATCTCTCCCCTAACTAGAAGAAAACTCAAAACTTCCACCACCATTATGTTACGTTCACCTAATGAAGAAATTATTGTCACATTGTGTATAATATAGACACATTGTGTAGTTATTACAAATGTCGTAACTAGGAAAGCATATGAGCTCAAATCCAACAAAAGTAATTACAACTCAACAGGTTTACAACCAAGATCAATGGATTTCTTCACTGCATCCAATACTACCTGCGTATTTCTACTAATCTCGGGCCATTTACTCTCTGGACGGTGTCCAAATTTCATAATGCCCTTAACAAGCCTTGCAAACTCTTCAACCATCAAGGCCTCTTGCGGCAGCTCAGAAATCACTCTAACTTCTTCAGGCCTTACATTCCGCCCAATATGGAGTTCCACGAACGTTGCACCAGATGTGAAGTCAAACGAAGCAGATTTCTCTTGGTATGGAATAATGTAGTCGTTGCAGTGCAGCGAACCATTGCGGCCCGATATGGCCAAGTCCATGGATGTGTGGGAAAGAAAAGAGCAGTGAATCGTTGCAACCGTTTCGTCTAGTGGTTCCCAATGAAATGATGCAGTGCAAGACAAGATGACCCCTGCAGAGTTTTTGGTGACATCAGGCAGAGCATTCACCACAGTTGGTAATTTGTAGTTCTTTGCCCACAAGATGGCCCCAATGCAGTACCAGCCTAGGTCCCCAAGCGCACCCAGAGCATCCAAGTCCGGTTTCACTCTTATGTTGCTCTCCCGAAAATCCTGGGTTACTGACTTTGTCGATGTGCTACGGATCTAAAATGCATACACAACAAAAAATAAAAGACTCGTACAGATAATCACCTGAAAATAATTCAATTGACCAAAATGCTTACAATGTCAATTTGACCAAAATGGTTGGATTCAGAGATTAACTCCTTCAATTTGGCAGTCCTAGGGTGATGAAGCCACATAATCCCATCCATGAACTGTACACCGTTGGATTCACATGCTTCCAATATCTGATCAAGCTCACCCACATCAAGAGCCGCCGGTTTTTCCAGCAGCAAGTGCTTCTTCTTTTGGGCAGCTAACACCGCCCAGTGCAGATGAAGACTAGTGGGAAGGGGCATGTACACTGCATCTACACATGGGTCATCCAGCAGCTGATCATAGCTCCCGTAGGTCTTGACGGTCCCAGATAATCCATTGTTGCCTGCGAATTTCTGGGCTTTCTCGATCGAACGGCTGGCAATGGCGTAGAGGGTGGAATTCGGTGCGATCTTAATGGCTCGAGCCACTTTTCTAGCTATGCCGGCACATCCTATAATGCCGAAACGGACTGTTCGGTTTTCAGCCATTTTGGTTTTGGTTTTCCTTATCGTTTGTGGGCCTTTGAGCTGGAGTAGGGGGCTGTAATTTGGTGGTTGCAGCCACTGTTTTAGGAAAAGAAAAACACTATCGTTTGTTGAAATATAAATGTGGATGCCCCACATCTTGAAAGATGGAGCTTTGTGGTGCACCTATAGGTTACGTGTACATGCACATCTCCATCCTCCAACATCAAAGCTCCATCTCCACACCCACATCCATGATTCATGTAAGTTCTTTTCTCCCTTTTTTCTTTTTCTTTCTTTGCTTTTCCTTTTTCTTCTACTCTTCTTTTTCTTGTAATTATCAATTTGTAAGATTGTTTCAAAACTTTGATCTAGGGAATTATAAATTAGGGTTTTTTTCTTCTTCTCAATTGATGTTACTATCTAGGGATTTATTATGGGTGTTACTATATAGGAAAAGGAGTGTTATTTTTTCTAATGCAAGTTGTGTTATTAAATTAAGTATTAGTACATAATTTATGGGTTGTTAATGCTTCTTGTACTTGTTGGAGTACATGCTCACCTAGACCCCTAAATCTGATCCACATGCATTCTAAATGAATTGACAACATGGTTCAATCTTCGTTGTTCATTTTAATTTGAGCTGTTAATCCAAACCACATGTCGTTTTTGGCCATACCAGGTATCATTTTTCACTACATTGAATCAGTCTCGTATGTTTGATCATATCTCTTATTTAATAGCCTTCAATCTAGATAGTCCAAATTATTCCAATATTAATTCTTTTCTTGAAAACAATCATGGCCATCCATTAATTTAAGCTTTTCTTTCCTATAAATAGCTCAACCCTCCTCCCATTTTTTTCTTTTCAGTTGACTCCAAATCAATGCAAATGTTCCTATCGCTCTCTTACTTATTATAATTTTTTGTTTTGTTTAATTAGTTTTAGTCTTGCCTTTAACCCAAGGAAGGACTGAACGATAGTGTTGATTGATTGACGAGCCGCTCAGGAGTAGGCTTAAGCTGGTCGACCTTACTAGGTACCCAAATTAACATGTTTGTGAAAATGTGTGAGCATGCCATGAGGTTTGAATAAAACTTGTTTGGGTTGTGCATGTTTTAAGGTTTCTCTGCATTACCATGTAGTTATAATTACTTTGTGGGGGCAAATGAATATATGTGACGTGATGCTCATCCCTATTTTTGTGTAGTTCGCGTATACGTAACGACTTAGACTAGGATATTAAAGCGACCTTGCAACTTGCGAACTTAGAATTTTGTTGCGCATTTACTTGGCAGGTCAAGAAAGTTCTCCTATTGCATTTATTGTGAGCCATGTTCACTTCTAAACTTTTGATTCTCTTTTATTTATTGACATGTTGTATCTAGTTCAGTTGGGGTGAGTTTTGTATACTTTCTTGTTTTGTGAATTTATGTATTGCTACTCTTGAACTATTGTAACCTTGTAGGTTGATGCTTATGTAAATATTTTATTTAAAAAGTGTTTATTTTGGTTTTCTGCAACTCGTTTCCACTTAACCAAAAGGGCTTTGGGTAAACAAAAATAGTGAAAATATTTCATATGTCAACCGTAATTCTCAATTTGCCATATTGATTTACAATTATAAGTGTCACGTGATGCTAAATCCGTCAAAAAAATTGTTGGAAACGATCATGTTTCGTACACATACCTAATTTGTTAAGAGTATCTTAGCAATTTACTCTTTAAAACCTTTTATACTTAAAAAAAACAAAACAAAAGAAACCCTACCCTCCCCCAACCCAACCCTCCCATTGTTTAAGAAAAATTTATTGTGGCAACTTGGAAATCGGATGACCTAGTAAAGTTTAGGTTCAACATGTAAAAGGTTGTATTAACCAAAATAGAACAAGCCCAACGAGCCATCACAAGGGGCCCAAACTGGTGGAAATAAACAGAAAACAATGCTAGAACAGATTATCACCATTATAGCAAGTCGTCTTCATTCACCCCTTAAATGCTGGTAAGACAATAAAACGTCAGGCTCTCTCTCTCTCTCTCTCTCTCTCTTTCTCTCCGAACAAGGTGTGATGTGAAAGCTCCGTCCCACACAATTGTACAGCCTATGGCTCTAGGTTTGCCTCATTTTCACTGCCACCTACTGATTAACTAGGTCCAAGTCCAAGTAACCACAGTAAAACGCTGAATTTTTTTACAATTTGCAAACAATTAAAAGAAAATGTAAAAACAAAACTGAAAGGAAATCAGAGTCTGTAAATCCAACGAAGACACTGACACATGCATATATGAAGGAAGGAAGGAAGGCATGCATTATCATATCATATGGTCATCATAGCCTCATAATATATAATGGACTTTCCTTTTTCTTCCACTTTTTCTTGTCAGAAGGAGAAAAGCAAAAGCTGAAATAGCTTTGAAAATTCATCTATTTTTTTGTCCACCTTCTCTCTCTCTCTGAAACACGTACTTTTTTTATATAAAAAAAAAATTATTTGTTTTTGGGTTTTTGAATTTGAACTTTTATTTATGTCAAAGGTTCATCAATCATAAAGCAATCGATTACAAAATCATTTCCTCACCTCTCACTTTCACATTGGACCATCTTTTCTGTTCTGCCCAAAAAGTCCTGTGTCCTTCTGCCGCTTCTCATTTATTACTCTCTTTTCGAGGAATGGGCCTTCAATTGTTAACCACACTCTTCCACCATCCCTTTTCTCTGCCTTATTTATTCACTCTCTGGTCAACTTCAAAGCGTAGAATGTTGTTCCATCCTTCCATATCATATCATAATATTCATATAATTCTATCTCTGAATCAATTTTATCAAGTAGGAAATGCTATTCACAATTCAAAATAAGTTAACATTTTCATTTTCCACGGCTACCAATGTGTCATGAGGTTAAAATTTGAAATAACTTATCTACAAGCGAAAACCCTTTTTAACTGGACTCGACCTCGTTAGTTGGCATTTATTATTATTATTTTTTAAATCATGAACTTCAAAAGCACTTTTGCAATTAAGATTTTTATTTCTTTTTACTTTCACTCCTGATAACTATCACAACTTTCTCTCTAATTAAGGAAAAAAAATCTAAGTGTGAGCAACTTTTTCAGTCATTTTCTAAGAAAAAGCAATGCTTATTTGCATCACAATTATTACAGATAAAGAAAATGACCTCCACTCAGTTAACAAATTTTTTGCATATATTATTTTTGTAAACCCAAGGTTACAGTAGAAAGTTTTCCGGAAAACAAAGCTGCTTAAAATGGGACTTGACAACTATAAAATTGCCTAGCAATGGAAGAGGCTTTTCCTTTAAAACTTTATCTGTTGCAGTAAAGCCATAACTGAAAGGGAAGACCCACCTTCTTCAGTGTAGCCTTGTCTCCTGATACTTCCTGCCTCCCGGTATATCCCCAGAAGAATTTACTCGCATGTAGCCAAAGTAATTTTAATGGTCAAGATCATTTCATGGTGCAGTATGTATGCGAAGATTAAACAATTTTAGGCAACATAAATGAAAGAAAAAAAACAAGCAAAGCCGAGTTTATATTTTTAAGTTCTTCTTATAGTCTCATTTGATTTGGGCTCTTGATCTGTTTCAAATTTAAGATGCAGACCCACCAACCTGCATTGGCTTTTCCATAAAAAAAATTCAAAATTCCGGTAGGGTAAATTCGATATGCAGCCATAGAAACCTCCAAATACATGCATGTGGTGAGGCAAGCAAATGCAGCAGAGGAATTAAGAGACAAAACCTAGAGTGTGGATAGCAAGTGGGTACGCATCAAAATTGACATTTTATCCTATTTTAGTTGACAAATAGAGTTCTTTAAAAAAAAATAGTATTGCATTTTATTTCTTTAAAACTAACACAACAAATAACATAAAAAGAACAAAGAAAAAAATATTGCCACCTTATTACCCTTTAGAGTACAAAATTGACATTGCATATCTTATAGTTGACAAGGAGGGTTTTCTTAATGTATATGGTATAGACGAACTAGCCTTTGGTCTAGTGGTATTTGTTTCCAGTCGATTGAAGGATGGCTCAAGTTCAATTCATATATACGGATAGTGAAGACGATATATATTTATGATGAGTTCAATACCTAATTGTTATGTAGCTTTGTTGCGGATGTATTGGTTTGTTATAAAAGTATCTTGTAAATATCATATCATTTGTCAAAATTATTATAATTGTTAGGTCTAATAATATTGTGATTCTTGTTAATTTAATATATGTTTTCATAGCAAATTTGTATTTAGCAGCAAACAATCTGGGTCACTTTGTCTTTGTGGAAGAGGTACAAAAGGGCGCAAGTGGAAGTGAATGAAATTGAAATTGGAGGTTGGTAGGGTTTGTATGTCGGGTTATGGGAAAATTTACAGTACATTCTTTTAATTTCGTGGTGGTCTTTCACCTTCAATACATTCGCTCGTTTAAAGGGGAAGGCATAATAGACCCCCGCTCCTTGAGTTTCTTTCTTCGAATGCTCACATCACATAATAAAAGTGGACTTTGACATCTCTCTCTCTCTCTCTCTCTCTCTCTCTCTCTCTCTCTCTCTCTCTCTCTCTCTCTCTCTCTCTCTCTCTCTCTCTCTCTCTCTCTCTCTCTCTCTCTCTCTCTCTCTCTCTCTCTCTCTCTCTCTCTCTCTCTCTCTCTCTCTCTCTCTCTCTCTCTCTCTCTCTCTCTCTCTCTCTCTCTCTCTCTCTCTCTCTCTCTCTCTCTCTCTCTCTCTCTCTCTCTCTCTCTCTCTCTCTCTCTCTCTCTCTCTCTCTCTCTCTCTCTCTCTCTCTCTCTCTCTCTCTCTCTCTCTCTCTCTCTCTCTCTCTCTCTCTCTCTCTCTCTCTCTCTCTCTCTCTCTCTCTCTCTCTCTCTCTCTCTCTCTCTCTCTCTCTCTCTCTCTCTCTCTCTCTCTCTCTCTCTCTCTCTCTCTCTCTCTCTCTCTCTCTCTCTCTCTCTCTCTCTCTCTCTCTCTCTCTCTCTCTCTCTCTCTCTCTCTCTCTCTCTCTCTCTCTCTCTCTCTCTCTCTCTCTCTCTCTCTCTCTCTCTCTCTCTCTCTCTCTCTCTCTCTCTCTCTCTCAATGCTTAATCAATTATACAACTACCATTCACTACTTC